GTCCAGAACAACTGATGTGAAAAAATAAGAGGTTTTTCTTTGATGGTTTTAAGATTAAATAGTTAAGTTGTTTTGTTTCTCTAACTTTATTACAGCTGAAATAATTTTTAAAAGCAGGAGGGAGTAGTTTAAAAACAAAAAGACCTGTTAGGTAGGCATGTTGTTGATTAAATGAAAAAATATTTCTAACTGGAATTGATAAATTAATAGAAGTTTTGGCACGACTTGATTATATTTTTGACGCTCTGTTCATGGTATTGAACGGGGCCAAATACCATCAGTTGAGTTTTTGTTTTATTTACTGTGAGTTTGTTAACTTCAAACCAATTTAGAACTACCTTGATATGGTTACCGACATCCTCAATCAAAGAATCAATTTTATGCCCGTGTCTAAAAATGTTGGAATCATCTGCATAAAGCACGAAATCGAAAACGTGGAAGACCTACTGAGGTCGTTGATGTATAGGAGAAACAGAAGGTGTCCCAAAATACTTCCCTGGGGAACATCTCTAGTGACCGGACGACAAGGTGAAGTGACTCTATTGACTTCTACATACTGTTGTCGATTTGTCAAAAAGCTTTTGAGCCATTGCAAAGTTGTATTACGAAAACCGTAAACTTCCAGTTTTTTGAGCATTATGCAGTGGTCTATAGTATCGAAAGCCTTTGACAAATCTAGGAATACTCCAACTGTGTATTCATTTTTCTGCTGCTTCTCCGATATATTTTATCAATTCAATTATTGCAAGTTCAGTGGAGTAACCTTTACTAAAACCAAACTGGTATTTACTCAAAATTTCGTACCTTGCAATAAAGTTCAGCATTTTGGTAAGAATAAGTTTTTCAAAAATTGTTGAGAATCCTGAAAGTAACGAAATAGGTCTAAAATTTGTGAGGTTGTAATCATTTATAACTTTTTGAACGGGAACAATTTTTGATATTTTAATGTGATCTGGAAAAATTCCAAAGTTTACTGAAGTGTTGAAAATATGACATAGTTGATGTGCTATTGACTTAATTGTAGAAATTATGATTTTCATTGATTTGCCATCTTTTCCACAAGAACACATTTTTTTGAAAGCCTTGGTTGCCGCGATTATTTCATTGGGAGTGACATCAATGAAGAAGAAAGAGTTACAAATATTGTTGGGCATATAGTGGGACCATTGCTTGTGGTTGGAAGATCAATCAGCATTGACATTGCCTACCGAAGCAAAATATTCATTCAAACATTCTGCAATGTATTTTGGATCTTCCATTGTGGCGTCATTCACCGTTAGTTGAATATTTGTATTCGGATCATTTTTAGGTTTTTTTATCATCTCACTTAAGATCTTCCAAGTTTCCAGGCTATTGCTTTCAGATATTAACAGTTTATCATGGTAATATTCTTTTTTTAATTTTACTTTACATTTATTAAAGAGTTTATTGTATATTTTAAAAGTTTACAAATTGGCGGCAGTTGGTTTTTTCAAAAATTTAATGTAGAGACGTTTTTTAGTTTTTGAGTGCGGCAGTCATCCATGGTTGTTGTTTATTCAATGTGGCAAGTTTTTTCTTACTAACTATATGGCAACATGATTCAAATGCTTGATTATAAATGTTAAAAAATAATTCAAATCCCCGATTAGGATCATCACAGTTAAACAGGTCTGTCCAATCGGTCATGCTCAAGTAACCATTGAGTTTATTTATTCTACTTGTTGAATAAGATATTTTAAAATTAATCGGGTTGAATTTTTCGCTCGCGGTTGTCTGGTAATTATACTGAAAAAATTTCATTAGATAATCAGATAAATCATTGTAAGCTGTACTACAACATTTAATTTTATCTGGGTAGTTAGTTATCAAGAGGTCTAAAAGAGATGATTTATCACAAGAAATTCGAGTTGGAATCGTGAGGAGTTGATAAAAGTTGTTGGAGATAAGAAGGTTATACAAATCTAAACTAGCCGATGACGAGTGCTGAGGTAATGTTTTTGTCTCCAACGATAAAGATTATTTTATTTTCCCGGTTCAATTTTTGCAACGAATGATGTAGCTTATTTAAAAACTTTTTAACACTGCCAGATGATGACCTTGTATATCACTAGCAAAATGATGTTTTTCATTGTTGAATCAAGTAATATTTCAACACATAAAAAGTCGGATTCGCCTTCATTGTTGTCAATATTAGTATGGACGTCGTCACGCAATTTAAAATTTAAACCGCATTTTATGTACAGGCCAACACCTCCGCCTTTGCCTACGGGTCGGTTTTTTGAGACGAATTGATTATTTGGAATGTTTATTATATGGAGAAGGTTATCTTTTAACCAAGTTTCAGAGATTGCAATAACGTCTAATATTACATTGAACTCACTGATGTAATCATAGAGACTGAAAGATTTATTTACAAGGCTTCTGATATTGAGATGTAAAAGATGAAATGCTGTTAAATTATTACCTTCAAAGTTTATTTTCTTTATTTCATCGAAGTGTTGACATTTAATATATGAAGAGGAACGAGTTGACTGTTAGAAGAGCCAATTGTTTGTCTCAGCAGCTTTTGTCGGGGATGATTTGCGGGTGTTCATTGATTGTGCCATGATTACGATCTAGATTTTGAATTTCACCTGCTGATGGGTTGTCTGTCGATGATAATGGTGTATCAAGATGTTGCTGTGAAAGTGTCTGCTGATGATGACTTGGAAGACTACACGTCGATGGAGGCGCGTCGAGATATTGCTGAGATGACGATCGGTACTTGGTTTCCCGAACAACCATTCCTGGACGATGATTGAAGATGGCCAAATGTTTGCGTTTAGTAGCTTATTTGTGTCTTGTTTATGTATACATAAGCCAAATGAAGAACTGTTGAGTGTTGACAAATCAATGATATCTGACGAACGTTCCTCTTTTCTGACGAGAGAAAAAACTGAAATAACATTGATGTTATGTTTTTTTACGAAATTTATTATCGTGTTACTATAGCAAACTGTGGCGTTGCTAATGTAAAAATTTTTTTTATAAGTTGTTTTTTTGCTACAAAATCAACATTTTTGTCAGCTGATTTGCCAATAACTTTCAATCTAGTTTTTGAAGAAGTCGAGTCAGGTAGCTGAGATGATTTAGACATTTTTTTCTGTTTTTCACTTAACACCTTTGAGAAATCTTCGTTTTAAGAATCTGATTCCTAATTTTTTTAGAATATTCCGTGGGAATTTGAAGCAAATTGCGCTGGAGTGAACAATTTAAATAAGAATCAGCCTGTAAGGCAAATTTATAATTATTATTAGCAGTAGATGTCAAAGCAGTAGATGGAAAATCAAAACGGTTTATTTTAATTTCTGTTGGAGTTTTTACAGCTTTTGACCAAAAACGAGATTTAACTTTGTCACACGCTAGTGAATTTAAGTCACCTTTTAGAGCGGCAATTTGTTTATTGCACTGTTCAAAACATTTGGAAAAGTGCACCTGCTGTTCATGTAGAATTTCTCGCACCTCTTTGTTTATTATGTCAAAATTTAATGGAAAAAAATTTTCAAATGTAGGAATTCTTTTCTTGTTTAAACTCACAAATGGGGAACATTCATCCAAAACATTAGACATTTTTAACGACTTCAATATTGTCACGCAGTCCGTAAGTTTATCCTTCTTTTTGCTACCTCGCGTTGCAGTTTTGTCGAAATTTTCACATTTTAAGTTTCCATTTCATTTTTCAGGATTTTCAGAGCGGCAACAATTTTCTCGTTGTGGTAGAATTCAACCGTATTACAAAAAAATGTTTCGTCATCCAAAAAATTAAAATTATTTGTCAACAAATACAAGAGCCCGTTTACAACGACTTGCCTTGGTAGACATCTTGAAATAAATTCTTTCAAATAAATGATGTTGTCGTTGATGTTGTTGTTGATGTTGTTGTTGATGTTGTTGTTGATGTTGTTGTGGATGTTGTTGTGGATGTTGTTGTGGATGTTGTTGTGGATGTTGTTGTGGATGTTGTTGTGGATGTTGTTGTGGATGTTGATGTTGATGTTGTGGATGTTGTTGTGGATGTTGTTGTGGAAGTTGTTGTGGATGTTGATGTTGTTGTGGATGTTGTTGTTGATGTTGTTGTTGATGTTGTTGTGGATGTTGTTGTGGATGATGTTGTAGATGTTGTTGCAGATGTTGTTGTGGATGTTGTTGTTGATGTGATTGTTGATGTTGTTGTCTTTGATGCTGTTGTTGATGTCGTTTGTTTGGTGCTCATTTCGCGCCGGTTGGAGATGTTATCAGGAGTTCCATGTTTCAGCCGGACAATAACTGTCCGTGCTGTCATGCTGCTGATAAGCCTGCTTTATGTTGCTTATCATAAAAATTATTTGTGTCTACGCTGATAAGAGCAGATTATGTGAATAAAACTTTCAATTATTCTCCCTTATATCACCAGCATAATTATTTTTTAATTTAATTTTTTTAATGTATTTATTTACAATTCTATCCTATGTACTTTTCAGGTGCCAAGAAATGTTACTACCCAGCACACTGCATATGGATCGCCGAGATCTTCTTGCAGTCAAACCCGCTTCAACCATTACTCATTATAGATTACTTTTATATAATAAAATTACATACATATATATGCATGCATTAAAATGAACCAGAGTGAATGTAAAAGTACCGGGCGGGCCAGGCAGGCAGCAGATGAATTGTTTTCTAACTGAGCAGTTATCAGTTTGTGATGCAGGCAGTGTCAGAGCGCATACATCATCCGCTGGTCAGTAATTGCAATATGCATGTGGCCGTGTGCTTTCACCATGGCTGGTTTGTTCGGTGCTGTGTTGTACTGTTCTGTGAGGACTGTGCTGTGTGGTTTTGTGTGGCGTGGTGTGGGGTGTGTTTCGTGTGTCTGGTGTAGATGGTTGGGTGTGCCGTAGTGTGGGATGTGGTTAGGTTTAGGGTTTTATTCTCCACCATTTTCGCCATCATCATCATCGTCGTCGTCATATCAAATTAAATCATATCATATCAAATTCATATCATATCATATAAATCATATCATATCATAAATCATATCATATCATAAATCATATCATATCATATAAATCACATCATATCAAATTAAAATGGTTGATGAAAGCTCGTTGAAATGTGTGGTTGTGTGTGGTTGCGTGTGGTTGTGTGTGCATGCTGCAGATGGATTTTTTTGAAAGTTGTTGCGTCAAATGGGAGTCGTGGCATCGAACCAGCAACCGGCGAAACAACGTCCCGTTCAAATTATGAAGGATCATACATGATGGAGATTGCGAACTGTACACGAGAGATCATGAGGTGGCGAGAGGGGAACATTAACTTCTACGGCAAGGTATCGACCAATATGAAGAACATGATGAACAAATGATGAATGCAAGAAACTCAACAGCATTAAAAACAACATCAACAACAACTGCATCAAAAACAACAGCATCAACAACAACCACAGTAACAACAGCAACAACATCAACAACAACATAAATTAACACAAAAATTTTGTCAATAAAACAACACAAAACACAAAACTAACAGCGTTCTTTAAATAACTAAATTAACAACAATATGAACTACAACAACAACAACAAAAACAACAAAATAACAACATAAAACTTATAAACTAAAACATAAACAAAACCGAAATGAAAACAAAATTAGGAACAACCAAACAAAACAACAACATGGCAGATACAAAACAACAACAACATCATCATCAACAACAACAACATCAATGACAACAACAACATTCGTCCTGCAACTTCTGCGTTTGAAATCCAATTAAAAACCTGATGAATTGTTCGTGACGAAAGATCGAAAAACATCGAAGTACGGAAGAAAAGAGAAAAAAATGAATGAATGAGTGAGTGAGTGAGTGAGTGAGTGAGTGAGTGAGTGAGTGAGTGAGTGAGTGAGTGAGTGAGTGAGTGAGTGAGTGAGTGAGTGAGTGAGTGAGTGAGTGAGTGAGTGAGTGAGTGAGTGAGTGAGTGAGTGAGCGAGCGAGCGAGGGAGTGAGTGAGTGAGTGAATCATAAAAATGTAGACAAAAAATAAACAGAGTTTTTCTAGAAAAATAAAATAAACCTTTGATGAATCAAACTAAATGAAACTGAATTGCGAAAATGAAAAATTATTATCAAACTGGTATAATAATTTTGAAAAATTTGAATCACTCATCGTTAACGTGCCATATCATCTCCGTCATCATCATAATAATCATCATTATCATCATCCCCGTCGTCATCATCATCATCCCATCATCACCACCATTATCATCCACGTACATACATGGAAGCAGCGTTTGTTTGCAAAAATATTCTAAAAAATATAGAAACATTTTCAAGCACGCACACACACACGCTCACACAGAGCAGACATCATCCGATATGACATGCTTGTTGTTATAATTAGCTCTCGGTTTTCCCTGCAACACAGCAACTAGTGCATTAATAAATATTTATGATATGGGACCTCATTAATATTTATGACCCGCCTGCAACTAAATAAAACTGCAGATACTATGTGCAAAAACTTTTCCTGACAATGTTCCGTGTTGTTGTTGATGTTGTTGTGGTTATTATGGTTGCGGTTGTTGTGGTAGTTGCTATTGTTGTTGATGTATCTGTTGTTGTTGTTGTTGACTGTTTTTGATGATATTGTCGATAGTGATGTTAGTGTTGATGTTGTCGTTGAAATAGTTGTTGGCTTGTTGTTGATGATGACATTATCGATGTTGTTCATGATAATGATGATGTTATTTGGAGGAAAGTTCTTTGCATAGAACCTTTCAAAAATTACATTGCAACATACAAACAACGTACGCCACTTGAAATTGATCAACACGCGTTTATTGGGAGAAACCTACTCTGCTGCCGAACCCGGTCTGAACGCTTCGACACTAAGATGACTTGAAACTCAACAATTGTTTTTATTATTTGCTAATGTATATGTATATCTGTGTGTGTATGTTATGTTATGTTTCAGATGAGGTTTAATCACATCAATTTTTTTTGATTCAATAAATGTTAATGTTGATGTTTTCAAAAGTTATTGTTGTTGTTGTTGTTGACCTAGTTGAGTTTATGCTGCTGTTACTGTTGTATACTTGTTAGTTTCTGAGTAGGTTAACTTAACGTCTGACATTATTATTATTATTATTTGTTATTTCTGTTAGTTTTTCCAAACATGTTGTTGTTGTTGATATTGTTGTTGTTGTTGATGATGATGATGATGATGTTGTTGTTGTTGGTGGTGTTTTCAAAATTGTTTTAATGATGTTGACGTTCAATTTGAATTCAATTAAGCTCATTCGGACAGGAAAGTTGTTTGTAATGGAGTTGTGTGCTGTCTGTTGTTGTTGTTGCTGCTGTTGTTGTTGCTGTTGTTGTTGTTGTTGTTGTTAACTGTTTGTTGCTGTGTTGTTTTTGTTGTTGTTAACTATTTGTTGCTGTTCGATGTTGTTTTATTTGTTGCTGTTGTTTTTGGCTGTTGATTGTCTTTCGTTTGTGTT